TTGCTCCCATAATGGACTGTGTCTAGGGTTATGGGATCAGCAATATGTGTACGCAAAAACACTCTACACGTGCTGTATGACTATGCTGCAGAGTATAGGACCAGCTCATTGAAAAGACAAGTTAAAGTCAAGCTCCAGCTTTTTGGCACTTTAAGGGCCAGTTCACATCGGGACGTGTGCGTTTGTGTGGTTTTGCACGTTCCTCCACGGTCGCTTGTGACATGTTTTTTGACAGTCTATTCATTTCAATCTGCTACCGTATGCACAGGAATGCTCAAGAAGCCTGGCATGATTTTTAAAATCACACCGCACGTTACTGCGTTACCATGTGGTTTGGTGGCCACGAACACACCTGCATTTGCCAGATGCGTGGGGGTACCAGTAATTCCAAGTGGTGTGAATGGACCCTTAAATAGTTTGTTTGGACCAAGCTGAACTATTACCCACTATTACCTTCATTAAGAGATGGACCCGTTGTGAGCACTGTATAAACTAATTGTAGCATCTGCTACATACAGTATACAGCACTGTGTTTAAGCAGCAGGACAGGAACTTCCCATCCTGCACATCGAACAAGATTTAGTTGGGCTGAGCATTGCTCATTCATTTACAGGAAGCCTTGTATTTTCCGATTGACTATAACGCTTCTCCTGATTGGTTATGTCAGGAATGGACTTGCCAATAATGGTGGGACTCACCTGCCTTGTGGGCTGCAGTACCAGGGCTGGCCAGCGGGTGCTCTCAGCAATCAGAGACTCAACCCTGCAGTCAGCCATAACACCTGAGGCTGATTGCAGGGTTGAGTCTCTGATTGCTGAGAGCACCCGCTGGCCAGCCCTGGTACTGCAGCCCACAAGGCAGGTGAGTCCCACCATTATTGGCAAGTCCATTCCTGACAGGTTAAGGTTGAGAGGCGGAAGGATGATGTGACAATCTCTATCTGTGCCAGTCAGCACATATGTTAACATGTATATAATCTCCCAATGCCTTTAAAATATACAGTGCTTTCTTATCTAAATCCTAATGCTAGCAGCATAAGGATTACAAAAGTTAATGTTGATATAGAGAGAAAAGTTCCACTTTAAAGCAGACATTCACCCTCTCCAGCTAATTCTACCCATTCCCCTCCTGCCCATTCCCTCTCGAAACAATTAGATTTATATTTTTTTAAATACCTTTCTCGGGGACCATTCCTGCACTTCCTAATTTTTCACCTTGGTGAGAATCAGGTATACAGTTGCCCATAGCCTTCTGGGATTCCCATCTCACGCATCTTAGGAGACCTTAACAGTCCTCAACAGTGATTGTGTACCTTCATCAGGTGTTTGCTGTCTCTTCCAGGTTTTTGCAGCCTACCACAGCATCATCATGACTGCAACAATCCAAAAGTGCCACCTGACCCTCCTGATGATATTAAGTGTGCTGAAGTGAAACCCTAGAGAATAGCGCTGGATCGGTCAGCCTATAAATCTATCCATAGATGGACAGAATTTTTAACAAAAATTTTGGAAAATTCTTAGGAAAGTTTTTTGTGAAAATTCATAGAAAAATCCTCAGAATATTTGAATGTCGTTCGAAAGATTTTGTATGCTTTTAAAATTTGATTTTGGAATGAATGGACTTTACTGAATTAAAACCACATACCCTGTTAGAAATATGTTCGTTCAAAAATTTTCCATCCTGCTCCCTTGAATTTTCTCATCACTGCCGTCAAAAAAGGACATCGATTAATGAGTAAAAAAACTAATGCACTCTTAGAACATTATTTTCCTAAGAATTTTCTTTCAAAACTCTACCCATCTATGGCCACCTTAAAAAAGTATTTGCACTAGAAAGAAAACATTTAAATTCAGCAGCTACAAATACTGTAGCTGCTGAATCTTAATAAAAAGACACTTACCTGTCAATGGATAAAGCACCATCCTCGCCAGGGCCGGTTCTTTTCTGTTCTTCGCTTCCATGGCACCGGCATGTTTACTGTGGGAAGTTGGCTGTGACTCCCTGCGGCTTCACAGCAAGCTTCTCACTGCTCATGCTCAAGCCTTGCAGTACTTTGTGAATGGTCCAGCATGCCTTCTGGAACCTGTGATGTGACCCAGAAGGATGCGGGCGGGGGGAGGCTGCACGTCCGCTTGGATCGCCTTGACAGTCCAAGTGGAAGTGGTGTACCTATTAAAAATTTTTAATGTGCCAAATGTGGAAGGGGGGGAGGAGGACAAAAAGTGGAACTTCCCCTGTAGGTCAAAGTTCCACTTTAAGTATACTTTTTTATGCATAACTCAGCTATAGAGATGAGGAGGGGAGGGGGAGTGAAGTTCCTCTCAAAGATTTTATTGCCATAAAAAACAAGATGAGAACAAAATAATTGCATTGCGTACTACAACCATACAGGCATTCATGTTGATCTTCAAACGTTCACTAGGATGAATGAAAGATGGCCTCCATCTGCTTTCACAAATAACCTTTCCCTGTAAATATCTACACATACGATCTTATTCGACAAACAGTAAAAGGAGCAAAGTGCAGTGCATCAGGCAATCAGAATTCACATTGCTGGGATCATTACAATCAGTACAATGTGGATTATGACTGCCTAATAATAATATAATAGTCTGGTAAACTCCAACAGGCATAAAGCATGGAAAAAACAAGGGAACAATATAGGGTAGTTAGTGTGTTTAGAGTTGTTTTCTTACTTTCTTTATTATGTGTGGTTCCTGTATTATGTTAGCTTTTAGATGTTCAGCTCTTTATTAAACCTTTACTATAGGGACTTAATTAGATATACATTTATCTAAAAAAAAAAGGATAACATTTAAAGTCCAAAATTATCTTTTAACCATGTATAAAAGGAATTTTATTGTCTCAATTTCCACTCTTAAATCCTTGGTCATACAAAGAAAAGATTCTCGGGGGTAACGGTTCTCTCAAGCAGTTACTGCTATACTGTATATACAGTATCTTAATAATGTTATTTTCTTTGTTATTTGTGAGCCAGACATGAAAGGCACACTGATAGAGGTGTGTGACTTATACATAGGTAGATCTGCAAACACATTCACATTTTGAAATAGGCTTTAAACAAGTCTCCTTCACTGGCTAATAGGGTTAAAGTCTATTTCCACTTTTTTAGCCAGATTGGGACAACACCTCTTTTATATTTGTTACATGTTCTCATTCGCATTGCGTAACTTAAAAAATATATTTTAAAATTGCTGTTTACCATTTTAGGTGCTCTTTTCTGACTCCAGACTAAAGCTGCCTATACAAAAGTAGATTTTCATTTCAAATGTTCCAGTGAATATTTGTATGAAAATTCTTAATATATTCCACAACTTGATACATGCCGTTCAAAAGTACTTCAAAATGAAACTTGCTTTTAACATTCGATTTTAGAATAAATGAATTTTACCAAATGGAAACTCCTTTGAATTTTCTCACTGAAAACAATTTGTCGATTTGACCCCACTAAGAATAAGAAAGTTAAATGAACATTTTCAAAATTAAAAGTTTCAAATCAAATTCTACTAGCGTATGGCAAGCTTAACTCCAACATTGAAAAATCCTACCCTTTGTTTGTGGGGGGGGTTGTGCATACCATAATCAACACTGTTTGTACTGCGCAGACAGAACTCATTATCAGTTATAAACTAGATTTGAATGATGTTTGTCTGTATTCTGTGTTACTGAGGAGAGGCTCACTGTGTCCCTATGAGTCTGTTGGGACAGACTCCCAATGGAAATATTCAGAAATACTTGAAATCTGCAATGATTCCTTCTACTAAGAGAGATCTAACTTAGCCCCGGTTCATCTATATGTGGACTTGTGGGCCACGTTTTGTGTGGGCAAGAGAGCCCATTCATTTGAATGGACTCCCGTTCCCCGTAGGGAAGAAGTCCCTTCACCTTTTCCAAAACACAGCCCGCACGTGAACCTCGATTCCCAGTACGGTTGCGTTTTCCAGTGCTGGCGGCGTGCCATTACAACTAATGGCACCCACCCGCGGGTCCGCATTTCTCTGTGTGGGTGGTGCGGTTGCACAGATTTTTGTGCGGATCCGCAGCGGCACCACCCACACAGATGTGAACCTAGTCTAAAGGTAGGAAACATTTAAAAAAAAGACTTTTTAGGCATGTTGTGTGAATGAGAACATATACCAAACATATAGTGTGGTTTTCTCAAATTTGACTGCAAAGGTGGAAATACACTTTATAGTAGCAATCCATGCCCTTCAGTTGCCTCTCCTTTCTGATACCTGTGCTGCCTAAACTGTGTAAAAAAAAGATGTGTATACTTACCTATTTTTAGTCCGCTCTGGTCTGGTCCCAAGCTGCAACTCTGGCTATTCTGTGTTATTGAGCAGCTGCTGCAGGGGAGAAGAGGAGCACTGACAAAGGCTGGGCTACGGTAGCCTATGACATCTCGGCTCCCAGAATTCTCAGCTCCCTCCTCTTCCCTGCAGCTGTTGCTAACTTACAAAGGGGATCATGTGACTGGACCAGTGAAGACTAAAAATATGTTTTTTTAAACAAAATATGCAGCATAGGTAGCAAGAGAGGGGAGGGAACTTGTTTAAACATAGTTAGCGTGAGGCAGGAATTCCACTTTAAGGGCTGGGTTATCGTTCTTCTAAGACTTGCACCATAATACTTCTCCCATGTGCACTTTCCTTGTTAGTTGTAAGCCTACGGCCTGCTGAAGGTTTTTTTTCTTGCTACACAACATAAAAGCATAAAAGGAATTCTATCCAAATGATGGCAAATATCCAAAAGTAGTCAGTTCTGAGGATTGCTCAGCAACTCCATTGGCATCACACATCCTTCCTGCAGTAAGACCGATCTGTAATCACCGCTGGCAAGGAAGAGATTGATTTATACTCTAGATTCCTCTCTTTTTCACAGTAGTTTAGGCACATGAGTTGGACATGTGGTCCGCTTGAATAAGTTAAAGCATCAATAAAATATAATACTGAATCATGCCGACAATCATTCCTCAAAGTCTAGTCTTGGAGCTTCTGTAGTATCTGCTTTAGCTGCTCCTGTGCCGTGTAGCAGAAGTCACAAGTCTTAGAAGATGTGTCCCATGTCATGTTAGCGATAATCTGTGTTAGACATTCCTGTGCAGAGTTCAGATCTTGATCGAATCTTCGGTCATCTGTCTGAAGAGCCATGTGTATGCAGATGTTTCTGAACTCTATGCTGTCCTAGGAAGAGTAAAGACACAACAGAAGTTAAAGAAGGATTGTAGATGGATACAAAAGACTGACATTTGAAGCCCCACTCTGGGCAAAAAGTATTTTTTCCCATTATTCCCACCCCCACGTAGAGCTAGCTATAACCCATGTCCCTTGTCACTGTGCCAGGTCTGGTGCAGGAGGACAGCAAATCCAGCACTGCAATGGTGCCTGAGACCACCGGTCCACATGACGTCAGTCATCTTCTGGATCATGAGAGGACCCCGCTGCTGGACATCCAATTAGAAGAAGGGCCCAAGCAGAAATTAAATAAAAGGGGAGAAGGTTCAGGACTGGATCACCATGTGACTGCGGCTTTAGATAAATAGGTAGGTGAATATTAGGTAAGTAAAAATGGGACTTAGATAGGGTTCAGGGAGGAGCAGTGGCATCCCTAGGGGGGGGTGCGGGCCACACCAAGTGACACCATCACATGGGGTGCAGGATGCCAGCAGAGCTTCTGGGCTCTGTGAAGGTCCTGGCCAGTTATTGGGGTGATCCTGGATTCCCAGTACAGTGACAACTGCCCCCAGTGTAGCGTTAAAATGAGTATCCTGGACCCGTGAAGACGTGTATCCCCTGAGGCAACTGCGCATGTTCGGGTTTCAGGCCAAAGAAGCCAATCGCCGATCTTCAACTTTAGCACAGAGCTGCCACAGTTAACCCCTTACAGGCTGCAAACCACTGAAGCTGATCCCACGGATCGCTATGGGTTGCAAGATCAGTTAACCCCATATAGGTTCAACCTATATGGGGTTAATTGATCTTGCAACCCATAGTGATCCATGGGATCAGCTTCAGCAGTTTGCAGCCTGTAAGGGGTTAACTGTGGCAGCTCTGTGCGAAAGTCAGAGATCGGCTTCTTCTGCCTGAAACCGGCACATGCGCAGTTGCTTCAGGGGATGCATATCTTCACGGGTCGGGATATGCATTTTACCGCTACACAGGCATCACTCCTTCCTCTCTGGAGGGGTGACACCACGTGTTACTGCACCGGGTGACACCAATCCTAGGGATGCCTCTGGGGAGGGGATATCCCTGAATTTATGTGTACATTAAGTCCATCATTAAGGGGTATAGCGAAAGCATTTATTTTTAGAGTAGGGAATAATTCAAATCTGTTGGGTCTCTATAGCTGTCTGTGTCCCCTCTAGGTAGATTCACTGTCTTTATTTGTCCTGGTGACCTCTATTACATAAAACAGAAAATCACCAGAATAAGAGATGAAGGTGAAGCAGCCCATACATTAATCTTTTTTTTTTCCAACCAGCAGGTTTAACAAAAAAAATTATTCCATTCTCCCATCCACACACTCAATGTGGGTGGGAGAATCACTCTTGCTGTGCTATTGTGTTCTGATGGTGGGGAGACTTCCCTAGTATATTTGGCAGTGCTGATCGATTGGGAAAAACCCAACAGGCTGGTTGTACATAAATCAATCTGAAGATCGACTTCTGTACAACCAGCCTGCCCGTACATGGATCAGAATGTGGCAGATTCACACAAAGCACATTCAGTAATGTAGAGTCGCTCCATGCAGCTGCAGTAATGCAAGTTCACACCATGTATGTGCAGTAATGCAGATTCACACCAAGCACATGCATTAATGTAGTCACCCCATGCACCTGCAGTAATGCAGATTCATGCCATGCACGTGCAGTAATGCAGATTCACACGAAGCACGTGCAGTAATGCAGATTCATCCTATGCACTAGCAGTAATGCAGATTCACCCCATGCACGTACAGTAATGCAGATTCACCCATTGCCTGTGCAGTAATGCAGAGTCACTTCTTGCATGTGCAGTAATACAGATTCACACGAAGCACGTGCAGTCATGCAGATTCATACAAAGCACGTGCAGTAATGTAAAGTCACTCCATGCACCTGCAGCAATGCAGATTCATGCCATGCACGTGCAGTAATGCGGATTCACACCAATCACGTGCAGTAATGTAGATTCACGCCATACACCTGCAGTAAAGCAGGTTCACCACATGCACATGCAGTAAAGCAGATTCACGACATTCATGTTCAGTAATGCAGATTCGTGCCATGCATGTGCAGTAATATAAAGTCACTCCATGCACCTGCAGTAAACGCAGATTCACGCCATGCACCTGCAGTAATGCAGATTCACGACATGCACCTGCAGTAATGCAGATTCACGCCATGCACCTGCAGTAATGCAGATTCACGCCATGCACATGCAGTAATGCAGATTCACGCCATGCACATGCAGTAATGCAGATTCACGCCAAGCACATGGAGCAATGTAGAGTTACCCCATGCACTTGCACTAATGCAGATTCACACCAAGCACATGCAGTAATGTAAAGTTACACCATGCACTTGCAGTAATGCAGATTCACGCCATGCACGTGCTGTAATGCAGATTCACGCCATGCACGTGCAGTAATGCAGATTCACGCCATGCACGTGCAGTAATGCAGATTCATGCCACGCATGTGCAGTAACGCGTGGTAAAACACACATGGGTTACTACAACCACAGCTATTGCTCTGTATGTGTGCTCTGTTGTACGTTGTGAATGGCACACAACACTATTCATATTGAACAGGCTGCCTTAACCCAATGCACGTTTTAATGCATGTGCAGTCTCGTGCTGCAATGGAACACTTTTGCGTGAATGAGCTGCATGACCTCTGCAAAATATGCATTTCACCAGTGATTAATACAAACGGATTTCTTGCATCATGACATATTACAAGGAAAAATTCTCTCTTAAACTGAGAGACTTCAGTTTTTGGCAGTTTGAACTGTACTACACTGTACATCTACACAGCATCTGTAATCTAAAGCTGGCCATACACCAGCAGAATTTCCTTCAAACATTCATATGGAAATTCAGAACAAACATTTGTCAGAGCATTCGATGGTACCATAATGCAGTCTACCAATTTTGTATGAAAACTCTGAAATATGTTTGTAATAACAATGTTTTTCAACATCAAAAATCACATTCACAGTTAGAATTTCAATCATTCAAAAAACTTTTCCACACTTCTCCTTTTTGCTTGTCACTAAGATAGAAAATAGTTGTCTAGCGACTCTATTAAAAGAGAAGTTCAGGATTTAAAAAAACAAACATTCATACTTACCTAGGTGGATGCAACATTGGTCTAATGCTGCATGTGTCCCCTGCCGGCTCTAAGACCGCTGATCACTCAGTTCTTGGTCGTCAGTGAGGTGAGAGATGGTGACTGTCAATCAATCAAATCAGGCAGTTGAGCCATGGTTTTACTACTCTCCGACCACCCAAATGAACAAAGGCATGCAGCTGCTTAGTACTGTGATGCGTTGCCTTGCATCTGCCTTGCTGTTGGTACCCCTACTGAATATAATCCATTCAAGTGGATGGGGCTGCACCGCAACTGCTCTGTAACTGTGTGCACACTTTTGAAGTGTGGTGGTACACCATTTTGAGGCAGTCAAAAGGCAATATAACACATCCTCACCACTGTCAAATGCCCTCTGAAAAGCGATCCATCATAAATCTCTAAGGAGAGAGTGTCAGCAGAAAGTCAAGCTGGCCTTACACCTGTAGAATTTTGTTAGAAAATTGTTGTTAGAACATTTGTTCAATTATCTAAGGGTTAAAGGGGACAATTCGACAATGAGTTCTGACCAGGGTGAGCAAAAATAGGTCACGAATCAAGGATGAAAAATTTTGGCTGAATGTAATAGGAAATAATGAATTTCCAATCATTGAATTCACTCTCAGTCAAGAAAAACTGTCAATGGAATGGTTGAACAATTTTTACAATTATGAACATTTCATACTCTCATCTCAACATTATAATGAAATTCAGGTGTAAGGCTAGCCTAAATTATTTGGCAATTGTTGATGCTTTAGGCTCCATGCACACTGGGAGTTTTAATAACGCTGGTAACGTTAGCTGTTTTTGCATTAGCGTATAGCGGAGTTTTGCCGTTCTTTTGGTCTTTAGCATTTTTTGGGGTTTTTTTTACCAAAAACATCCAAAAATGCTGGTTTGCCATGTTTTACTGCATTTTGCTGCGTTTTTCAGCGTTAGAGCATTTTTACAGCTAAAAACTCCTCTAGAAACCCACTAGTTCTGGGTTTTTTTTCCAGCCAAAAAACGCCCCTGCCAAAAAAATTTTGATTACAGTCTATGTGTGCATGGACACATAGGATAACATGTTGGGGAGTTTACTGGCTGTAGAAAAAAAAAGTCAAAAGTCAAAAACAGCAGCTGTAAAAATGTCCAGTGTGCATGAGGAATAAAAGTGGTTATAAAGTCTAACGAGGGGGGTGGTGTTGGTCTGTGACAAACTCTCTCTGAGGGGGGTGGCCACCAATTTTTGTGTTGCCTAGGGCAGCACAAAACCTAAATACACCACTGGTTACACTCAGGGCACATCTCTGCATTATTTTCACATAAAAAGATCAAAGGGATATGCTTTATCTCTCCATTTTGCTTTGTCTCTGATAAAAGAATACAAAGTAAAAGAATATTTAATAAACATTAAATTTATAAATAAACTGAACTGCTCTAAACCTTCATAAACAAAACGTAAAACATAATCATAACAAACATGGTATAGTTAGTAAGACAAAAATAACAAAAACACAAAATAATCATATAAACAGGAAATCAATCCAAGTAAAATGTCCCGGGTGAAAAGGTGCTCGTGCAGGTGTAATTAAAACAAGTGCTCTACTTCTCAGTGCCTCCAGTGTTCCCATAAAGACACTCACCACAAGTTGTTGGCCTGCTATTGCTAGTCAGGTCAGTAGTGCTTGTGTTTGGGAATAGACCCCTGAGTCTCCAATGGCTTGTTCTTATTGGTCCTTCTCAGATGGTGTACCGTCATCCATGAAAACAAAATACCAGGGAGGGTCTCATAGATAATACCATTAGGTTTTATTAAAACACACAAAAGTATAATAAAAAATTCACACTCACATTTGTTGGTGCCTATAAGTACCGCCACAGGGTATATATGGCTTGCATAGGGAGGAAAAGATGGTCGCGGCTGTGCATGTGTAATAAATCAGCATGTGCTCCAACAGGAGGATATGACATCACCAGAAGTGATGTCAGCACGTAGACCGCACCTCAATCCTGATTGGACATCTTCAATGCCGGTTCTTATATGCACCTACAAATGTAAGTATGAATTTTTTTCTATACTCTTGTGTGTTTACATAAAATTGAATGGTTTATGCTATAAGACCTCCCTGGTAATTTGTTTGCATGTGTAGCACCCTCCTAGGTAGGTTGCTAGGATGTATATAGTCCAGCTAGTATAGTGTGGTCTCCTGCTTAACAGGAGACTGATAGTCAAACATAGCAACTTCTCTGCTTAACAGAAAGCTACAATAGTTTAGTGAGGGTATCCTGTGTGGCTCACAGTGCTGCTGTGATTGGCTGCTCTATATCCAGGTGACCTTGGAAGGTTCTTGGAGAGCAGGAGTGACCCATGTAGATCAGCAGCATGACTATGAACACCATCTCAGCCAATTACAGGGAGTGGTGCCCCTTTGCATGCTAGTATTTATGTTCTTCCTCTTCTTCGTCGGAGAAGGGAGTTCTAGCCAGAGAAGTCGCTGCCTCTCATGCTCATGCTGCCAGGAGGCCTCAGGTGGGCGACCCGAGGACCAGAATGCTGAAAACCAGTTGAATGAGGGGGATGTCTATAGATCCTGTCTGGTATCACGGAGGAAGGTGACCTATGGGAAGGGCCTTGTGAGTACAGACTGTTCTAAAGGGATGCTGGGATTGTGCTGTTTAACCCCCTCGGGACCTACATAGCTGCTGGGTGTAACCTGGAAAGGACTCCGGCTGGTGTCCAGTAGAGCAACTGCCCACTAAAGGTCTGCATTTCTACAAAGGGACTTAGCTCCATTCTTTGTATAGTATGCTGTACAGTTCTTCTAGGGAAACCCGCAGATCTACTTAGAGAAAGTTGTCTTCCATTGTGAATAGTTCAATTTGGAGTATCCCACTACATCCCTTCCCGATCCCAGTTCTAAAACAAAATAAAAACAACAAAAACTACAACCCCTAGACTGATCATTGGAGTAACAGGCGTTAGTTGAGTGAGTGTGCACCTGGCTATAGGAAATGCTATGTGCTTGGCTACGGGTGAAGATATAGAGGAAAGCCTGGCAAGATACAAGTGGCTCCTACGGGACTAGCGCTACACATACATGATGGTACAACATCTGAGAAGGACCCATAGGAACAAGCCATTGGAGACTCAGGGGTATATCCCCAAAAACACACATGTGCTTCTGACCTGTCTGTCTGCATGGGAACACTGGAGGCACTGAGAAACACATTTTGTTGTGTCTACACCTACATGGACAACTTCTCATCTGGGACTTTTTACTTGGATCTATTCACAGTTTATACAATTATTACGTTTTAAAGCGAAGGTCCACTCTGTCAAAAAATAAAAGTCAGCAGCTACAAAAACTGTAGCTGATGACTTTTAAAAAACAGCCACTTACCCGTCCCTCAGTCCCTTGGTGTGTTCCCCGCAGCCCATTTCACTGGCCGTCCTGTATTCTAGGAGGCAGGCATCTTCAGTGTGGGCACCCGGCTGTGATAGCTTGCGGCTTCACAGTCGGGTACCCACTGCGCATGCATGAGTAGCACTGCGCTTCATGAATGGTCCTGTAGTCTTCTGGGACCTGTCACGTGTCCCAAAAGACTACAGGGGGGAGGGAGGACACCTTCCGTTTCCGATCGCCAAGGCGATCGGACCGGAAGTGGGAGCGGGTACCTGTCAAATTCGGGTACCTGCTCCCCCCCCCCCACCTCCCAAAGGTGCCAATCCTTAATGGGGAGCGGGGGAGCAGTCCTTAAAGCGAAACTTCCCCTTTTGGGTGGAGCTCCGCTTTAATGTTATTTTTGTATTACTATAACATGCTTGATATGGTAATGTTTCACATTTTGTTTATGAAGGTTTAAAGCAGCATTTATTTATGAAATTAGCTTTTGTACTCAGTGTTTTGATTACATAGCACTTGTTTTAATCCGCAGCAGCTAAAAATACACAGAAATCGTTCATTTACATATTTTATGCACTTTAATTTATTATTTCCTGTGCGCAAGATCTTTTTACTTTTATTTAACAAACATTTCTGCAAGACTATGAAATTAAAGATACATCATTTGTAGGCATAGCCAATTATTTTCCCCAAAACAGACCCATACATAGAACTGGTTTCTGCACTCCACTGTCATCCATAACTGCAGAACCTTCACTAGAAGGAAGGAAGAGATCCCACAAGACAATACAGATCCTACAGTCATCACACAGCACAGTTTACACAGTTTACTCACTTTGATCTGCATTGTAAACTGGTGGTCCAGCGGTAGATGTTGCAGCATGTTCTCCTCCACCAGCAGCAGCTCCAGTATAGACCGGGCCACCCTGGAGAGCCGGTGCCGGGACGCCCTCTGTGCCAGGGTGAGACACCTGGGGGGAGATCCTCCATCCCGGTCATCTGATGAGAACTCCATGGCAGCCTGCTGTGTCCCCAGGTTGGGGGGAAGGGAAGCCGCTGATGGTGGCCCCCTCTGAGAAGAAGAGGTCGGGGATGGTGCCAGTGTATACCCCTCTGCTCCAGGAGGGGGAGGAGGGTGTGCAGAGCCTTGGCTTGGTGGCTGACAACGTCTCTTACAAGTGCTGGTCGGGGCATGTCTGTTGTCCTGAGGATCAGGTGCTGGAGAAGAGACGTCTGATACAGGAGTTCAAGGAAGACGTATCCGATGGAGGAACTCAGAAAAGAGACATCAGATGGAGGAATTTAGAGAAGACCCATCAGATGGAGGAGCTCAGAGAAGAGACATTCTATGGAGGAGGTCAGAGAAGAGACAGCAGATGGAGGAGCTAAAAGAAGAGACATCAGATAGAGAAGCTCAGAGAAGAGACATCAGATGGAGGAGGTCAGAGAAGAAACATCAGATGGAGGAGCTCAGAGAAGAGACATCAGATGGAGGAGCTCAGAGAAGAGACATCCTATGGAGGAGGTCAGAGAAGAGACAGCAGATGGAGGAGCTAAAAGAAGAGACATCAGATAGAGGAGCTCAGAGAAGAGACATCCGATGGAGGAAATCAGAGAAGAGATATCAGATGGAGGAGCTCAGAGACATCCTATGGAGGATGTCAGAGAAGAGACATCAGATGGAGGAGCTCAGAGAAGAGAAGTGGGATGGAGGATCTCAGAAAAGATACACTGAAGATCGCAAAGAACACAAGTAGGAGTGGGGATCTCAAAGGAGAGACATCCGATGGAGAAATTCAGTGAAGAGACATCCGATGGAGAAACTCAGTGAAGAGACATCCGATGGAGAAACTCAGTGAAGAGACATCAGACTGAGGTTCGTAGAGAAGACACAACGTATGGAGGATCATAGAGAAGTCAGGTCGATGGAGGATCTCAGAGAAGACACATCTGATGGAGGAGCTCACAGAAGATACATCCGACTGCGGGTCGCAGAGAAGACAGGTCAATGGAGGATCTCAGAACAGACAGGTCGGATGGAGGACCTCAGCTCCAAGACTGGTCGGTGAAATCTGAGCCGTGGGGCGACCTTTTTCTTTTCAGCAGTCACACCAGCAGATGTTCCTCATTGTCTACTCTCTATCATCGGGTCACAGTGTTATCTTATGGTTGCAGCAACCATCCAGACCTTTAGTGTATTTCACAAGAATGCGGCGTGTGTCTGTGCGCTTTGTACAAGGGGTGTCAAATTTCTGCTGTAATAGGAAAAAAAAAGACATGTATTGGAGTAGAAGATGAAAACCCAATCACTTAAAAACCCATAGAATCTTAAACTTGTTAGGGCTCTTTTCCATTTGTCCATTAAGGCAGGTTATGTCAGTGGTAAAGCATGTTGCATTAGGGCATCCTATTGAAATCAATGGGCTTCCTAAGCACCAAAAGTCTCCACAATTAGATTTTTAACAACTTTTTTGCCAGCCTACGGTGTGCTTTGACGCATGTGTGCTGGAGTGCTAATAAATAGTAATGGCATCACTCTGCATCAAGGCATGCATTATTGCCTTTTAAAGTTCATTTCAAAAGTTATTTTCAGTATTGGTTTTACATTTAAAGCTGAACTCCAGATTTCTTTTAATGAACACAGCACATAATTAACCTCTAATAAAACTTTATGCACATGGCCAGACATGGGCAATACGACATGAAGAGCCAAAGGCGCAGATAAGAGGGGGATAAGGGGGTCCAAACCTGTGCCCCAGCATCTGCTGGCAGCTGTGCTGGCCACCAGAGGCACCTGCAACCTGTCAGTTTGGAGCAAGGGAGCAAAAGAGGGCTCCCCTTCTTCTGAACTGCCCTGGTCTGAATGTGTTTCATGGAGGGGGAGCTGTACTGAAGGGGAGGAGAGATGTACTGATGATGGGGAAAGCTGTATTTGGGGCGACCCCCCTCTGAAGACGTGCTTGAGCACGATACGCGTCAGGAGGAGCCATATCACGCCGCCGGAGCAACGTGGAGCTCCGGCGGCCATCTTTGTTTACCAGCTGGTCAGTTCCTTTACAGACTACTGTCTGCAACGCTGTATTGTCTTTACCTGATTGAATAATACATTTGTGGTTTAACTTACTACACTATGGGAGTGTTCTTGTCGCCCCCTGGGGGAGTGCTCTAGTCCGCAGACCCACTTCAGGAACGGATTGCTACTCACCACTCAGGCCACCTGTAGTGACAGCACCCACTAGGACCACATAAGGGGACCTCTAGAGGAGAAGGACCACTTACCTAGGATCCGATAGAGGAGAGACCGCCCAGCACCTGGCAGCAGGATAATTATACTCAATGCGCATTTAATATGCGCGTCCGGTGAGTGCGCATTTCATTACCACCTCTATACGGATAACAGAGTCACCTCAACTATTTATATTTATCCACGGGACTACCCAGTATATATATCTTTTGATTTACCAGTGACTTTTTAATATTAATTTTTATTTTTAATATTAATATTTATTATTGCTTACTAGCGCTGCACTTTTCATATATATACTGTATTTGGGGGGGAGCTGAACTGAGGGGACAAAGAGATTTGAACATAAAAGTATGTGAAACAAGAACCATGATGACAAATAACAACTGCACTACAGTTTTGTAAATATATTTTGTCTAGTTTTAGTACAGAGAAAAAGGGAAGAGTAAAGATCAGACCAAATTTACCTAATCAGAGAATATCTTACGACACCAATGTCTGCCTCATGGCCTGCTGAAACAAATACTTTCTCTTTTTGCAGAATTATTAAAGGAGAAGTACAGCCAAAGATTGTTTGGCTGTACTTCTGTGGATCACAGGAGTTCAGTTTGTTCTGCACTCCTGTCACCAGTTTTCAGCCAGCAATGGGCTAAGGTCCATTATCAGTTGACGTCACTCAGCTGGTCCAGGCTGGGATCCACCCAGATGTCTGGACCAGCACCTGGCTCAGTCTCTCAGCAATCCACTGAGAGCCTGAGCCAGACGCTCCCTCTCACTCCAGAGCCCAGCACTCCAGTGAGTGCAAGGGGGGAGGGTTTCAGAGCTGAGAGCGGTGTACTTTGATCGCTCAGTTCTCAGTCTTAGAGCCAAGGGGAATGATATAATAAAAAGGCAATTTAAAGTCCAGTCACTATAGGACAAAATATATATAGCACTTTGCCCCATGTTTGCAACACTAGCTAAGAGGTCCACCCTGCCCCCCCCCCCTCCACTCCTGCTGACAACAGATTTAAAGGAGATGGTTGATTCAAAGCTGCAGCTTTTCTTAGCTGGGAACACTATACTGAGGGACAAATAGCAAGAGGAATGCAAAGGCTGACACATCCCCCTCCCTCTGCATTCCCCTTGCGGTTTCTTGTCTCAGGAAAGTGTCCACAGCTGAGACAAGCTGCAACTTTGAATCTACCATCTCCTTCATAGATGTTGTTGAATCGGCCGTGGCAGAAGGGGAGAGAGGCAGGTCAGACCTCATAATTGTACATTGGACAAAGAACTACATGTACTTTGTCCACAGGGACAGAACAATAAAATAAAAATTATAATCATAGATCTTCTTTAAAGTGTATGTATAGCCAACTTTTTTTTGTTTTGGATAGAATAGGGAAGAGTAAATGCCAATTTTTTTGCCATCTGTGTACCATTGGAGCAATAACCTTTTACCTCTTGTAGCAAAAGTGCAAAAGGAAGTTAGAGGATAATCCCTAAAGCGAGGAAAATAACCTCTTAGATGGTTGTCCCCAAAACCTGTGTTGCTACAGGAAGAATAAAAGAACACATTTTGGATACCTCCACCTTCATTCCACTGTCAAAAGTAAAGGGTGAATCTCAGGACTGGGGACACAGGCAACAATAACAATTGACTAAAGTCAGCCATTGATGATGTGAATTTCTTTCCTGCAAACATGGGTTGCAGGAAAGAAAATGGCTCTATTCCCCCATCAATCCATGGTTGCAGGAAAGAAAATGGCTCTATTCCCTCATCAATCCATGGTTGCATGAAAGAAAATAGCTGTATTCCCTCACCAATCCATGGTTGCACGAAAGAAAATGGCTCTATACCCCATCAATCCATGGTTGCATGAAATAAAATGGCACTATTCCCTCATCAATCCATGGTTGCATGAAAGAAAATAGCTCTATTCCCTCATCAATCCATGGTTGCACGAAAGAAAATGGCTCTATTCCCTCATCAACCCATGGTTGCAGGAAAGAAAATGGCTCTATTCCCTCATCAATCCATGGTTGCATGAAAGAAAATAGCTCTATTCCCTCATCAATCCATGGTTGCACGAAAGAAAATGGCTCTATTCCCTCATCAACCCATGGTTGCAGGAAAGAAAATGGCTCTATTCCCCCATCATTCCATGGTTGCATGAAAGAAAATGGCTCTATTCCCTCATCAATCCATGGTTGCACAAAAGAAAATGGCTCTATTCCCTCATCAATCCATGGTTGCACAAAAGAAAATGGCTCTATTCCATCATCAACCCATGGTTGCAGGAATGAAAATGGCTCTATTCCCCCATCAATCCATGGTTGCAGGAAAGAAAATGGCTCTATTCCCCCATCAATCCATGGTTGCAGGAATGAAAATGGCTCTATTCCCCGTCAATCCATGGTTGCAGGAAAGAAAATGTCTCTATTCCCCCATCAATCCATGGTTGCACAAAAGAAAATGGCTCTATTCCCTCATCAATCCATGGTTGCACAAAAGAAAATGGCTCTATTCCTTCATCAATCCATGGTTGCATGAAAGAAAATGGCTCTATTCCCTCATCAACCCATGGTTGCAGGAAAGAAAATGGCTCTATTCCCCCATCAATCCATGGTTGCAGGAATGAAAATGGCTCTATTCCCCCGTCAATCCATGGTTGCAGGAAAGAAAATGGCTCTATTCCTCATCAAACCCATGGTTGCAGGAAAGAAAATGGCTCTATTCCCCCATCAATCCATGGTTGCAGGAATGAAAATGGCTCTATTCCCCCGTCAATCCATGGTTGCAGGAAATAAAATGGCTCTATTCCCCCATCAATCCATGGTTGCAGGAAAGAAAATGGCTCTATTCCCCCATCAACACAGTTGGGGGAGTGCAGGGAGCCATTCCCACCGGGAAAACACATTGATTTCTGCAAGCGCTATAAATTCGACATGCTGGTTGTACCCAAGTT